GTGAACCCTGCTCATGTTCTGCATAGTGACAGCCGCTTCTGCTCATCTGGAAGCGTCCTATAAAATGAATATGAAACCAATTGCCAGCAATCACTCTCAGACAAGCTCTTAATATTTTATGTCAACCTTTTATGCACAGTCTCTTCATCTCCCTTTAAAGTTGGAAATGAGATTTTTTTTTTTTTCTTTTCTACTGATTAGTGTGCTTTCCCAAGTCATTTACTACTAAACAGTAGGGAGGAAAAAGTGAAAGATCATTAGCAGTTGCCAGAGTACGAAGTTGAGAATTTTGTCTGGTGCTTCCATGTGATGCTGAGTCATTAATTGATTGTAAAGAAGATTGAGTGTGGAAACCTCAGGCCTTCTGTTTAGTATTTTATTAGCCTGTGCTACTGTTTTGAATTTATCAGTGTTTTGATTGTGCTTTGCGCTTCTGTCTTTATCAGAAATGTAGGGGCAGTAGTAACCTTTGCCTGTGTACATGCTCCGAAGAGGCAATCTTTCATGATTTCCCCATAATTAAAAATACTACTCTTGCTCTTTTAACCTTGATGGTGACTTTTATTGTCGTTATTAGATGATAAGAAACTATATCTGAACTGGAGTCATGACCCCAGAGACTGAACAGGGAGTGCTTGAGTAGTCTTAGAACGAAATCAGGTATCCAGCGCTGGTGAGAAACCAGGTATACTGTGTTAAAGAGGCTATTGAAAACTCGGGATTATATCACATAAGGGAACAGTTTTACTCCTTGTTAAAATAATACTGTGGGATAGCTGTGAGTGGGAGAGGTTAGTTTTGTCTCCCAAGGTGGTTTGACCTGTCAGCACGAGGATTTCATGAGACAAAAGCAGGTGAAATTAAAACCTCAAGTTGCAGTGAGAACGAGCACCTTGTTTATTCCTTCTTTTGCCTTCATGAGATTCCCTTTCCTTGTTCTTTAAAACTTCCCTCCATGTATATGCTGTAATTTGTTTCCTGTTTTGGAAATGTATGTCTTGCTGGTTTGTTTTTGTTTGGTGGTTTGGTTTTTTTAACTAAGATGTTAACCATATTTTTTGTGGTTTACTTCCATTTCAATTTCCTGCCAGCATCAGCTGGAAAGTAAAGCCAAACCTTGCTTAAAGCCAGTCCTAATAGCCAGAATACTAATTTTTTTTTTTTTTAACTTTGCAGCTCTGAAATCTTTTTTTTGGAGGTGGGGTAAAGTGTGTGAAATCCAAACCCTGTGTGGTGAATAATGCCTGTGTAACACTTGTTTTGGAGATTTTAGCAGCATATTTACATCACTAGCTTCCTTGCTTAGTAAACTATGAAATACAGACCACCACATTTGGAAACAGGCATGTGTGTAAGGGCGTGCAGCTGGGATGAAAAGAAAATGTGCCGAGTTGCTAGAGCTGGGCGATTCTCCCCCAAGAGTGCTGAAAGAACTTGAATGAAATAGCTGCAGTAACAGCCAATGCGTGTGGGGTTCAGCCAAGAAGCTTGTGGGAGCTGGCAGGTGTGATGATTTAAAAACAAATAATTAAATAAAGGAACAATGAAAAAAAAACTTTAAAAAGCAGCTCCGGGAGAGAATCAGAATTCTAGGCCAGTCTAGCAGAAATAACGATTGAGGCTAGCATTGATAAGCACCTTGATGAATATGATATTTCAGAGTGGTGTCAGTATGGCTCTTTGGAGGGGAAACATACCTCTTGGAGCTTTTGGGAAGCGTCAGCAAGCAGACAAACAGGGTGATCTGGGAGACACAGTCATGGTTTCCAAGCATCTTTCAACAGGTTTCCTTATCAAAAGACATGAAGCTGCAGGGGTTAAGGGAGAAGGTCCTTACAGGGGTAAAAAATGAGTAAAAATACAAGAAATGGAGGGTAGGAATAGCAGATTGATTTCTTTTTTTCTAGCAGAGGCAGGTTGCTACTGGAAATAAATCTGCAAGGATCTGGGCTGCTCAGCATGTTGTAAATGACCGGGAAAAAGAGGTGAGAAGTTAAGTGGCATTGCAAATGCAGCACTTTTATTCAAGATAAATAAGATAAATGGTTTCTACTAGGAGGATTGTAAAAGGACCTTGTGAAACTAACTGGGGTTGAAAATTGCAGGTCTGTGAAGTAATCCACATGGTAAAAATGATCTTCTTATCTGTCAGGGAGAACCTGGGATAACTTGCTGCTCAAGAGTTGAGTTTTGAGGTAGTTACAGTTGTCTGGAAGTATCTCAAACTTCTGGAATCTAACTAGAAAAGGTGTCAGATGTTTTGGATTAAGAAAATGGAGCATGAGGGGTGCAGCGTGTATTTACCATGTAGCTTACCATCTTGGGTACCGTGCATTTATAATACTGTGATCTAAAAGGGTATAGCTCATTTGGAAAAATTGTGGGATGACTAAGGTAGGATTTCTCAATTTGGAAAGAGTATTACTGCAAAGTTGTAAGTCAAAAGGATTAAATGCATCTACAGATAGACAGACATAAGAGCACTGTGCGAAGCTGGGCAATTCCTTGCCACAGGATGTTGTGCATGCTAGAAAATGTACATGGATTTAAGGAGAGATTTAACAAAGGAAAGATGCATTGACAGGTCCTACGTTACATTGAAGCTACAACTGGCCCAGGAGATCTCTGAGCTGGAAATTGCAGGAGGTCAAACAAACAGCGTCTGTTGTTTTCTATAGGCCTTTGTATTTTGCTGCTGTTCCTATCTGTTGACTGACAGGAGGGATGTGAACGTGTCCTAAAACCTAAAAATACTTCCCTGAAGGTGTGTGTGAAGGGGGAGGATATAAACGAACTAGTCGAATGAGTAGGAAACAAAGAATGGAGGGGGAAGGAAAGAGGAAGGGGCTGAAGGATCCAAAAGCTTTACAATTTTAAAGTGAGGGAAGGGGTCATAAATAACACAGGGAGAAATGGTAGGCAGAACCACTGATTTTGGAGGAGCTGGAAGAGGGGCTGTAGTGAATGTACACCTCTGGGTGCAGCAGGGGCATGGGTGGGAAAAATGTAACATCCTCCATACAGAACCTTTCTGTGGTTTTAATGCTGCTTTTGAACAGGAGGCAGAGGCAGGTTTCTGGGTGGGTTTTTTTTTTTTTTAAGTGGTGTTTTGCCTGAGGGGAGAGTATGTGCCTGTATGTGCTTACATGTCTAAGGAGTATGGTCAGAAGAGCTGCAGGCTCACCAGGGAGCAGAACTGTGCAAGGTGTCTTTGGGACTGCACAAACACCATGGCTGTGTTGAGCTGGTAGTACAGAGCCCATCCTAATTCCTGCTTATCTGATCAAAGTTCGAATCGACAGGCAAGTCCCTCAGTTAACCATTTTTCAGTTGCTTCAGACTGTAGGTTGGAGCTTAATTTGCTGGCCTGTGGGCTGAGGAAGTACAATCCTCTTTTTGGCTAGTTGGTATTCCTGAGAATTAGTAATAGCAGTAGTCCTGCTCATACTTTGGACTAATATATTGCGGAGGGACAACTGTTTTCCTCCAATGCCTGGATTCCTGTCTTCAGACTAAACTTTGGTAAATGCCGATGTACCGTCCAAACAGCTGAACCGTATTACTGGGGGCTGGGAGTTGGTGGTATTTTGCTATCAAATTATGATTCTTGTTCTAGCATGATACACAGTTAAAAGCATTGGTGGCCATAGAGGTAGGCTAGAAACACTCCTTAAAATCCTGCACTGGCAGTGGCGTGCCAGGGAGGGAAGCAGTTTGTGTGTTAAAGCAGTAATTTGTTTGCTTGTGCAGGCAGCCGTGTGGTTGTAGTTAGGTCAGAGGGTAGTAGGGGTTTAATGTAGTTTCTTAATGTGCCAATAAGTTTGTACTTAGACTTAATTTTCATCTTGAAACTGAATTGTCACTCACCCTTTATTATGGCAGTTGGAAAAGGTTTTTGATCCTCAAATCCAGCAAAATTAATGCTGAAAACTTTAAAACTTTCCAGGTCTAAAATGATGATAATGTGGGGGCTTCTCTTTGCTTCACCTTGGATTAATTTAGGCAAAAAGCTTATTAAAAAGACTTTTAAAAATTCTGTGTCATTTGAAGTATTTGGAATAGCTAAAGAAAAAGGGTATGTTTTAGTAATAAAGCATTGGTCTTCATGAAGTGGATTCTGTCCTGGAATGATCTCACTTAATAGTTCATTATGCTTTGTCATTCAGGTACTTTGTGTCTGCCAGGGAACAACAACAACAAAAAAAAGGAACATTACTGACTCTAATCAATTCTGTCCTATATTTTAGCCATAGGCTTGTATTAAAGCAAATCTATGAAACTTGTGGTAAAAATCTTACTTGTTTTAAAAAAAAAAAAAAAAAAAAAAAGTCTCAGGGATATTTTGCAAACACAGCCCATGATGGGGGACTGGCTGTATGTATTTGCAATGGATCTGTGTTACAGAAATAGTGAGTTACTGCCATGTCCTCGAACCTTCCCACGTGCCGACAGTGGAAGGGGACTCTGTCACATCCGATGAAGGGCTTGAATTTGTTCGTATGTTAAGAGCCTTGCAGCTGGCTTGGTGATTTGCTGCCCTTCTCACAAATTCCTAACGGGAATCTTATATTTAATCCAAACCCAGTATATGAACTGTAGCACGGTCACTGGATCTTCCTGGGAAGAGCACAAGTGACTATGTTCACACAGGGAGTTGGAGAGATTTACTGAGTATATGGACACACACTATTAGTCTGTTTCTGGCTTTTGTTTACCATATTTATATTAGGCGCTAGCTGTAGCCTAACTGCATTTAGCACAACTTCTTACATTTTATGTAAGAGCCAATACCTTAAATTGGGACAAAATTTAGGAATCTTAGATGCTTTAAAAAAAGTCTGTAAGATACTGGCATTCCCAAACAGGTTTTTATCTGGCATTGGAGGAAAACAAGTTCAAAGTCTACTTTAAGCCTTTGTTGCTGACAGCTGTGCAATATGTTGGTATGTTTGTTCTAAAGCACAGGCTCTTGCTCATCGTTTGCACTTTTTCTTTTTTAGTTCAAAACCCATTTCTTCACCTTTGATTGTACAAGTTGGGCATGCAGAGACACTTCAGCCACTGCTTGCCCTTATGGGTTTCTTCAAAGATGATGAGCCTCTCAAGGCAAACAATTACGTCAGACAAACGCATCGGAAATTCCGCAGTGGCCAGATCGTGCCTTATGCAGCCAACCTGGTATTTGTGCTTTACCACTGCGACCAAGTGAAAACCTCTAAAGAAGAGTATCAAGTGCAGATGCTGTTGAATGAAAAACTGATGTCGTTTCATCACTCAAATGAAACCATCTCTACCTACGCGGACCTCAAGGACTATTACAAGGACATCCTGGAAAACTGCCACTTCAAAGACGAGTGTGAATTACCAAAAGTTAATATTACTGCTGTTGATGAGCTTTGAGGGAATGAAGTGGCGTGGGTGTTCTGCAAATTGATCTCGGTTCCATTCGACAGAGATTGTGAACAGGCGCTTCTGATGATTTGCTGCTGCCATGTCGACTTTCTAAACTTGCAGATTTGATGGGCAGTCTCAGCTCAATGCACTGTTTATTTATTACGTAAGCAGAATTACAAAAACAAATGCTGTAACAGGGATGTTGCTGAGCATTTGTAGCAAATATGTGATGCAAGATGAAGTGTACCTGTATGTTTATATGTACAAATAAGTAATTTCATTGGTCATTCCTCTTATGAATGTGCCATAGATGGATTTAAGAGCTGGGGCGACTTCTGTTTTATCAGAGGTGAAGGTGGTTAGACTGATTCAGTATTGCTTTGCTGCACTGCCTGTTTTGCTAGCTACTGTTTTCCTGTGGCAGGCATGAAATAATTCAGAACTGTGAGCTTTTTTGCTCCTTTTCCTGAGCTTCTAGAAGGGGGAGGGTACGTAGTCCTTCTCCACTGCCCAACTTCTGCCTGGACAGCACCATAGGAACATCTCTCTTGGGCATTTAAAGCAGGAGGAGTTGCAGTGTTCCTGCATGCATTATCTGCTTGAAAAGGGTCCATCATCGACCCATCCCGCATAGCAAGTTAGCCTTCAGGGTAAGTAAATTATCTTTTTTTTAAAAAAAAGAAAGTAGTAAAAAAAAAAAAAGAATATTGCAGGAGTGGGATGTAGCCACTCTTTCTTTAAGGTGCTCTGGGAGATGCAGCGGTTGTTCTCTCGGTAGTCTGGTGTGTCCTTTCACTTGACACCATCACTTTCTTGTGTTAAAGGCTTGGCCTAGGGCCAAAAGTTCGGCTCTGCTATGGCTAGGAACATCTTGGTCCTGTCCAAGTGCTGGCAGTTTTCCTAGCAGCTCTGGTTGGAAGGGACCTCTGGAGGACTCCAGTCCAGCCCCCTCCTTGAAATGGGATCATTGCTAACCCTAAATCCAGGCAGGTTTTGGACTGTAAAAAGTGTCTGGCTGAGACTTGACTTCTGCTAGCTTTAAGGCACCGAATGTGGTGTCACTTATGCAGGCCTTATGCATTTGATATGCCACCTTGTTCTTGAAATGAAGCTGGCTTTAAAGAAATTAACTGCATACAAGTACTGGTGACGCCTTAAAGCAACTGCACTTAAGGTAGGTTCACTTGTTACTGACAGTTGGAAAGTGTTTAAGCTCTGCCATGCGATGAAGATAATTGTCCAGAAGGGTCTGAAATGCAGTTAAGTCAGATAAAAATGCCTTTAATGCCCAGAAGGGAATGGCTGTGTGAACAACTTGCCGCAAAGCAAATGAGGGTGTGGATTTATGGTGCTGGTAGCTCTTGAAGTGTGTACCCACATCCTATAACGAGTGTTCCAGAGCTTACCTGGTGAAGTGGGGCATAATTTGCTGTGTTTACTGGGGAGTTGGTATAAGCGATTACCACAGGGTATCAGGTGCACTATAAATATTTATACCCTCGTTTGCTGCGGGGTAACTTCTTTTTGTAGGCTCACCTTCAGAACTGGGAACTTAACTGCCCCAAAAATGGGAAAGAGAAAGCCAAACTGGCTCAAAGTTGAGGAGTCAAACTTAGTGTATTTTTTCTATTATTTTTCTTGAGGATTTAGGCTTCTGTCACTTTTGTTTCTAATATGGCTTTTATAAAAGCATTTAAGGTTTACATATCTGTAAGTTAGAGCAATTGAAAACCTGTTTTTTACCATTGCACTCTTGAGTTAAGAGCTCTTCCCTATGTTGGGACGTTTCATTGACGCACTGATTTCTGTGGAGACCAAGGTTCTGATTGCTGCAGATACTGGTTAAAACTGGTGGGTATTTCAGCATTAACACCCCGGTGAAATGCTTTCCTGCATTTAGCTCTGCAGCTCTCTTCCTGAAACTGGTGAAATGGCCAGGGAGGAGTATCGATGCTGAAACAAGTGTAGGAATATAGGTCAGGATAATTGTCAGCCCCAGCATATGACTTCTACTGCTGTATCAGCTTTGCATGTCTCCTGTTTTACATGATCCTACCTTGAGGCTAAGTCAACTGATCACGATTACTGTGACAGATGCCTGTTACAAACTTTATTGCAACATGTGAGGTCAGCTACAAAGAAACAAACCTTTGTTTAAAGGCGGTTAAGTTTGGTAAATAGCAGAAACAAGGATGAGAAAATCCACCTTTGAACAAGTATTCTTTTTTTCTGTGAGTCAGTCATCCCCTGGTGATTCACGATTTAAACAGAAGGGATGAAAGCCTGACTGCTGGACGGAGGATCTCTGTTTGTCAGTTCAGTGAGGCTGATTTTAAGACATCATGTTTGTTAAAGGTTACATCCTTCTTTCTTATGGAGGAGGAATGTGTTGTGCTTGACTGCTTTTTTTGATCATGTGCCAGATGAGGTGGAGGAACCAAAAAACTCTTCCTACAGCGAGGCGTCATTTGCTTCCGCATTACCAAGTTGGCTGTATGCTTAAATTCTGTGCAAAGGGCTGCAGGGATGACTCTTCAGGGGCTGTTTCCTATCTTGCTTTGAGTGCAGCTCCGTCACACCTCCAGCATACCCGATACAACTCCAGTGGCTGTCAGCAATGAGCTGGAAAGGAACGTGTGCTGTTTGGATTCTGATCTGTATTTAAAGGATGTGCTGACTCACTCCTTTGGCAGAATTAGAGGCTGAATGTGGAAACTTTGCACAACTGTAGCAATAGAAGTGTTTGGACATGTAAATGTTCTAGGCACTTGTGACTGATTCTTACCATTAGGGAGGTGACTTCAGTGTGACCCTTTTATTTAGTAAATATATACATTTGTTTATATACTGAAAACTAAAATGGATCACAATATTTCCATGCAGTTGGGCACTAGCTCAGTGAGCAGCATTCAGACAGGCTGCCGTATCTCATGGCATTGCAGATGACCACATCCTGAAAAAGTCCTGCAGGAAAAATAATGCCTTCTCCTCCTTCCTGTGGCTCTGGACAAAACACCTCATCTCAGTCATCCGTCAAGGACTTTGTTTGCAACCTTCCTCAAACTGGAAGCTTTCATTGATGAAAAATACCGACAGTGTTCTTGGATGCTGGCCTTAAATGTGTTTGAAATGTATTTTATTTTGTTAAATGTCTAAAGCGTAACTAGTCTGTCTGGCAAATTAATTTTTTCCTCCTTGTAAGTACTGCTGCTGTAATTCTGGTTAGCATTGAGCTGTCAGAATTGCTGGACGCAATGCGAATTTGTAATACTGTGTACTAACTGGATGAATTTTGAGCACTTGTTTGGGATTTTTAGTGCTGTGAAATAAAACTGCACACTTTCTTCATCACTGTTTTATGAGCAGTAATAATGACACGATCTTCAGTATCACGGCTGTGTTCTGCTTCAAAATACATTTGGTAGGTTGCTATGACTTGCATTGGTGTGTCTGATTTTGTCATCAGATTGCTTGGTGATTAGTACTAAATGCCTTAATTAGATTTTTACTCTCACATTTTGAGGTGAGTGAAAGTTTACTCTTGTTTGCAGGAGCCCTGGTTTTAAACACAGCGATAGTTTCCCCGCGAGGTTTTTTGCAGGTATCACTGTAGTATGCAAATGTCTGGAAACGTCCTTCATTTTGAAGTGGAGCGAGGGTTGCACATGTGGTTTTGTGCAGTCCAGAATCTGCTGCAGTATTATTTCTCTAAACGCTATTGCACTCTCAATAAGAGATTGACACTGTTGATTTGACCAAGAATTAGAAACATACATCGTGCAATACTTCCTAAGCTGTCATTTCTTGGAAGTGTTTGGCAATAGATCCTCGTTATTGAGTATCCATTAGCTACTTAATTTGTTAATTCTCTGATTGCCTGTATGTAAAAATTAAGCTTTGCCTGCAGTGTACTCATGTGCTGCGACTGGAATGGCATCATCTTTGATCGAGGGCTGTTTCTTTCTTTTCAGAACTATTGGTCTGTAAGATGGTTTGAAATAAAAAAACCAGCATCAATTGTTTTCTAAAACAGACAAAAAAACCCCAGACTGCATAGTCATGGGAGAAGGACTAAAATGTCTCTGAAATTAGAATACCAAAACCACGAGTAACCTTCTGGGGAAGAACACTATCACCGCTAACTTCTCAAAAGGAAGTCGGTACTGTCAGATGTTAGCTTGCAGTTGCTGGTATGGCAGAAATAATGGTTTATCTTTGGCTTGTGGAATTCTTGCTTTCTTGGGCCCTAAGTTACAGACTATTTCTCCTGATTGCAGGGTGATTTCAAACCTGGCCATCCTAAGGACTGACCTTACCGGACTGTAGTGAAGGTCTCTCATACAAATGGTATGTGCTGGTAAGCCCACCAAAGCGAGGCGCCAGGAGTGGCTGAGCCAGGGAGCACTCATAACTTTTAAGATTTCTGGGGAAATTTTTTTTTTTTTCCCACCTACCCTTCTTCCTCCTCCTATGAATCTGTTGTCTTGAGGCCAGCCGCACTTTTGACACCCGTATCGTCATGTGATAGTGAGGCCACGCTTTGCTTTTGTGCGTGATGTAGGGGGGTTCTTTGTTTTAAAAGTCCCGTCTGTTCTTTGTGTTGCTTTGACCGATGGGTGTGTGGGTGCGTTCTGTCTTTGATATGCTGCCACCTTCAAATTAATCTTCATCGTGAAGACTCAGCAACTCCTGTTTATCCAGTTCGGCTTTTGAGTGCTTTTTTCATGCCTGATTTCTCAGGATTTATGGTCCAGTAAGTAGAAAACTATTTCTGAATTGCTTTGTTCCTAATGTTGATAAGGTTTTTGAAGAGGGTGTTCGTTGACTGTGAAATACACGCCAGGCCAGAGCTGGGTTCTGCATCCAGATCTGATACAGGTAGATGTTGGTAAAGGCCGTACAGCTTTTTTCCCCTCCCTTGTTTGCTTCCAGAAGTGGAAAATGAGGATTATATATAGATTAACCTGCATTTAGGGCTTTTTTTCTAGCTTAGTTCAATACTTGAAAGAGATTTTTCACTGAAAGTCAAGACAGAGGAGGCAGGGAGGTTCAGGCTGGCAGCATGTGGTCTTTACGGTGGAGGATTTTTTTTTTTTTCTTTTAAACAATTCCTTTGAGAAAGGGTTTAAAGCAAGCAGTGTTTTTTCTGAAGTTCTGTTGAAAGGTTTGAGCACACCTCTTACTGTGTTTAATTAACAAAACCAGTTAATTGATGTTCAGGGAAGGGATTATTGTTGAAGGATTAGGATGGAAAGAGCTAGGTGAACTACTGATTTTTTATTATTATTTATTATCTAGGGGTCAGAACAGCTCTGCAGCTTTTCCACGCTAGTGACCTGTAGCTCTGAAACGCTCCACTGGATGTGGTAACGAATTCTGAACCTCCTACGGAAACAGAAGGTGCCCAGCTGGTCCTGGGAAGCAAAGCATGCACCCCAGAAAGAGGAACCAGGCCGGGCCAGGCCTCTGGCCTGGTGACCTCTGGCTTGTGGTAGGATGTGGTGCCCGAGCAAACGCATAGGGATGGAGCAAATGCTCCCCCATACCCGACCGATTGCTGGCCACTTGTGGCTACAGGGCTTTCTTGAGTTAAGGAGAGGAGGCTTGCGTTTCGCTTTATGTAGAGCTCTTAATCAGTCTCTCTCCTACATGGCTCCCCGGTTGCTTTCGGAACCCCGAGCCTCAGCTGTGCCTTGTGACGGGATGTGGCGGGTGCTAGAGCTCGGCTGGGGCTTTGTGAAGGTCCGGCTCCTTTCATTTCATTTGACCCTGCCGGCAGGTAGACTGGAAATTCAGTCGTGTTTCTGGGAGCCGTGATTTTAAAAGCAGTAACAGCTTTGTGACCTACTCTGTTAGCAGAGTTAGTTGCCATATGCAAATGGTAAAGCTTGGCATGTATTCGGGAGTTGGTGATACAGATCTTGTTTCAGTGTTGTGTTTTCCTGAACACCAGCAGTTTGTCTGATTCCTTGGAGCACTTTTTATTGGGAGAGGAGTTAAACACTTGATCTCTTTTCATCCTGCCTGTGCTACTGATGGCTTGTATTTTCTTTTTCCCAGATGGGAGAGGCCCATCTTGCATATTTGTCCCTTGTGCTGAAATCATTCTGTCCTTATAACTGTTATCATTGCTATTGCTATTTTTGGTTCAGTTTTACCCCATGCCTATAAATACATGTACTGGACCAGACTTGCACACAGTATTCAAGGTGAAGGTGCACCATTGACTCGAAAAGGGGCAAAATGATGATTCTTGTTTTCTAGATTTTTATTTGACGCACCGCCCACACCAAATAGCATCCCATTTCTTTCCTTGATGGGTGGTGAGCATCAGGCCAGCATGTGTGGAGCTCTTCGCTGGTACCTGCATCTCACTCCTGACAGTATTTAAAAGTACCAGCAACCAGTGTTCTGTGGTTGCTTCTCAAAGACGACAGTGTCCCCCCCCATGTATAAAGTATTCCTTCTTCTCGCTATTAGAGGCTATTTACTGCTCTCTTGAGTATTTTGGTTGTGTAAAAATACCTGTAAAAATTGGAACAATTTAATATTCTAATGTTTATGAATTTACAATATCCTGTATTTTTAATTATGGTAATTTTTCATGAATAATTGGTTCATCAGAATAAATTTATGAGAGGTGACTGGTAGAGGGAATACTTTTTTAAACAATCAGTTGCACAGCTTCAAAGCTTGGCGTTATAGGAAAATAAGGTAGAAGGAGATTTTGAGAGGTCCTCTGCTCCATCCCCCACCCTCTGTGGCACCCTCTGGCTGGCTGGTGGTTTCTCAGGGGCATCTGTTTTTCTACTCTGTAGCTCAGCGCATCTACTGCGTGGTGCAAATTCAGAAGGCACTGATTTTTCCCTCGTCCCCTGTATATTGAACAGTGCTGGGCACAGATCTGACCCTGGCAGGGCTCTGCTGGATGCCTTTTTCCAGCTGGAGGGTGAGCTATCCTCTATGCCTGAATTTCCAAGTTCTGTACCTCTGCTTTCTTTGCCTGTTATGGGTGTAGGCGTCACTAGCCGTGTCATCTGAAACAGCAGCCCAAGGCCTTTCTAGCCCTCCTCATAGTCCAGCTTGCCCAGGTTTCATTTCTGCTGTAGAGCAAAACTGGCTAGTTCGCAGTGCGATTGGCACTGGGCAGCCGCTGCAAGCTATTACTGACCTCGGCGCTGGCCGCTTCGTGCCCACAAAGAGTGTGAGCCTTGTTCTGGTGTTTTCTGGACGTCGAAGTCAAGCAGCGTGTCTGTAATCACGGCCTCCCCTTTACAGAGGAGAGAGTTTGGCCAGGTGATTCTGGCCAAAGCCCAGGCTCTTAATCCTCTCTGAATGCTCTGTTGTGCTTATTTATTTTAATGCTTTTAATTAGATGTATTTTATTTAATGCATGGGAAGCATTACTCCTCAGCTTACAGAAAGAAATGATGACTCTTAGTCAGATGGGAAAGGCGCTGCTCTGAGGGAGGCCCCGCAATTGTCCTGACGTTGCGGGGAGGAGCTGCCGTGGGCTGTCATGCGTCCTCCACAGCCACCATTTACAGAAAGTCTTTCACAACCGCATCCACCTATTGATTCAAAAAAAAAAAAACAAACCCAAACCCAACAAAAACCAAACCTTAAGCTGCTGGTTCCTGGTATATCTGCCAAAAGAGAGATTTGAAAACCTTTGTCTTTCGACTTCCAGCCTAACTTTATACTTGGCCTTTGTGTCCCAGTTCTGTCTTCCAGCATACACTCATGACCTGCCTGGTACCTTTGGAGATGCCAGCTGCATCTCATTTCAGCCTTCGCTTTGCAGGTCTGGTAAGTCGATCCCTCTTAACCTCTCCTCACCTGACCGATCTCTGTGTGCTGGCTCTGGTTTCACCTCAGTTCTTTTGAACATAAATGACCACAGTGGTGCTCAGTTTTCCAGATGAGGTCTTACGAATGGCTCACTTGCTGGCAGCGAGATTTCCCCTGCCTTCCCTCTTGGGAAGGTTAATCATTATGCAAGTGAGGTTTTTCTGTTTATTTGGTTGGTTGAGGGCTGTTCTCTGTGGCACTCTGGAGGTTTTGTGCTCTGGCTCCCATCTCCTGCTACAGAACGCTTTCACCAGG